AAACATAGAAATATATCTAATAAAATAGGAATAATTTTATAATTAGATTCTCTGTTTTGACAAAGCACCCCCTAGAAACTTCATCAAATTGACTTTTTAAAATTTAGACATAATTTCAGGCTTAGAGAAAAGTTGCAGATAATAGTAGGAAAAATCTGTGTATACTCTTTACTCAGATTTCCAAACAAAACTGTCATACTTTTAAAGAGTATTATTCAGGTAGTATTTTGTAGTATGTCCCTCGGTTTGGGTGTGTTTGGTGTTTTCCTTTGATTAGGCAGAGGTAATGGATTTTGGGGGGAGACCACCACAGAGGTGGTAACCGTTGTCCTTGCATCGTGTGAGAAGGCACAGGACATCAACATGATTGGTTACTGGTGATGTTAACCTCAGTCACTCCCCGTTAAAGTGGTGTCTGTCAGGTTTCTCCTCTGAAAAGTTACTATTTTTCGTTTTCCATACTCTCTGTTGGAAGCAGTCATTAAGTCCACACCCACATTGAAGGGATTGGCAATTAAACTCCACCTCCTGGAGGGAGGAGAATCAAGAATTTGTGGACGTATGTTAAAACTAGCCCAGTAATTAGTAAATACTTGGGGGAAGATAGCTTTTTGCCTATAAAATAACCTGTTTCTCCTTAAAATTTTGCTCACGAATTTTAGCATTCGGCAGTGTGTATCGCTCACAGCAGTCATTTAGTCAGTCCATGGCAGGTTCTCGATCTTTACTGTGGTATTCTAATAGTGATTTTCTATTTCCCTTATTCCTTATATGGTTATTGGTTGGAATTCCCCTGTAAGGAAGATCTGTCTCTTCTCCCCCATTTATTTTTTTATGTATTTATTCAGTCATCTGTTTACATTAATGTGGATTCACAGATACTCATTTTGTTCTTTACGTCATAATCCAGCATTATTGTTTCTTCTTTTGTTGTCTTGTACAGATTGTTCCAGCTTTGGCCATTGGGAGTTCTTTCATCTGTCCTTTTGAAATGCTTGCCCTGTCTATTCCCACTTCCTTATTTGCTGGCATTCTGGCACTACCAGAGACTCCCTACTCATCCTGTTTCCCTTGCCCCAGCCTTCGAATTAGCCATTTCTCTAGGGAAACTTGGTTCCTTTTATTAGAGAATAGTATTTAAAAACCTAGATCTGAGTGTGAGTGTGCATATTGTTGCTGGAATGTCACTGCTTTTAGGCCTTTCAGGGGACAGAGCTAGAAAACATACACATGCATACTAACCCATTTGTATACACATCTCTTTGTAACTGTATCTTTCTCTGTAGACAGAAGGCAAACATGAGTTCATACTGCTATCTCAGACTCTAATCTAGCCTTGCAGGGTTCATTCACAAATTTGTGCTTTTGCTTTTGATGATGGAGTACAAGTGGTACAGCAGTTCGATCTGGTTTCCATGTTACTTTCTGCTGAGTGCTATAGCTCACTGGTGAGAAAGGAGTCTTGACTTGACTCTAATAGACACATTCCAGCAGGAAGTTTGTCCTCATCACTCCTCTCAGTGTCCTTCAAAGCTCCCTGAGATGGCTCCGACATTGCAGTTTGAAAGCACTTCAATTTGAAAGGTGCTTCACTTCTCACCTTTTAGACAGGAAGTGCCTCATTGCATCTTCTGAGCTTTGTTTCACATAATTTTAAGAGTTGTCACTTAAGTAACCATCTCTGACACAGGGGTCAATAAACCTTTAAAGTACCAAATGGTAAATATTTTAGGTTTTGTGGTCCATAAGGTCTCTGTCAAGTACACAGCTCTGCCTTTGTCCTCTGAAAGCAGCCATAGGTAGTACACAAACAAATTAGCATGGCTGTATTTTACTGACATTTTATTTACAAAAACAGAGTTTTGTGTTTGGCCCATGGTCCATGGTTTACCATTTGCTGGACCTATTAAATGCATTCTCTTCCTTTTCTTTGTCTCATTCTCTCTGCATTCACAGGCTTGACATTTTACGTTTGTGCATCAGTAAAATAATCAGGTTTCTAGAAAAGAAGGGCTTGAGTATAATAACATACGTAAGAAATACGTATGGATCGTAAGTGTTAGAACTGGGTGAATTTCTGTAGCATCGTTTGAAAAGTCTGATTTTGGATGAGTTGTTTAGGTAAGAAAGGTGGCACTGTATGTGGTGATGAAGGTTATACTCTGTGAGCCAGTAGTTTTGGTGTGAGGAGGTCAGTGTTACCAGGAGTATGTCCTCTATCTCCACTGGCAGTGGTTAGTCTAGTTGTTTAAGTTTTATAATTGGTAGCTAAGATTTACTGGAGGGGAGAAAGGGTTGAATATTCAGTAGCCCAGATTCTGATATGGGTGTTAGTAAACTTCGTGTTGAAAGAGCTCTAGACAGCAGTCCCCAACCTTTTTGGCACCAGGGACCAGTTTCATGGAAGACAATTTTTCCGTGGATGGGGTGGGGGGAGGCAGTGATGTGAGCGATGGGGAGTGGCTGTAAATACAGATGAAGCTTCTTCGCTTGCTCGCCCTCGGCCACTCGCCTCCTGCTGTGCAGTCTGGTTCCTGACAGGCCACAGACCGACATTGGTCCACAGCCCAGAGGTTGGGGACCGAAGCTCTAGAAGATTTAAATTTTATGTATTTGAATTATTCAATGATTTTTTATGTATATTTTTGTCTTTTAAATTTTTTTCTCATTAGCATCTAGTTAAGACCAGTATTTTGAATCTTTAATGCAGTTTTAGACTCCAGAACATTTAATTTTATGTAAGTATAGGAAACAACTGTTGGATTTGAAGTCAGAACACTTGGTTATAAGTTCCAAGTTTACTTCTTACTATTTTTAAGATCTTAGGAAAGTGATTTAACCTCTTTGGGTCTAAGTCCTTTATCTGCATATTAAGGAAAACATCTGCCTTCCCTAACTTACAGGTTGTTGAAAGAATCAGAACAAATGTTGAGAAACTTCCATTGGTAGGTTTTAACAGCTCTTTGTGCATGTATAGGCGAGGAGTGGGTGGCAGTTCTGTGACTTTTTTTTAACTTTATATAAATTTACCTGAACAACCCTTATCTTCCAGCTGGCTTGGCTACTTGGCCATATTGAATTACTGGTTTTTCTTCTATCTAGAACAGCTTCTGGTGGTGGTTGTCTGGTGAACCATGTGTTGTGAAGTGATTTTATTCATGCATGCATTCAGCACTCATTCAACAGGCACCTACTGTGTGCTAGGCACTGTTCTACGCACTAAAGTTTCAGCAGTTAGTATTAATAAAAATCATCCATCTCCTACCCTCATGGAGCATATAATCCTGAGAGTAAGGCAGGAATTGAATGAATGAATGAGTAAATGAAAGAAATTTATAGCTGTGGTAAGTGCTAGAATTATAAGCATTAATATATAATGCTATGATAGGGAGATTTAATCTAGGCAGGAAGATTTAAAAAAAAAAAAAGACATTCCTGAGATAGCAGTTGGGCTAAGGGAGAAGGAAAAAATATTCCCAGAAAGGGGAACCTGTTCAAAGACCACGTAGGTGGAAGCATGCAAGGAGCGTGGTCCATATGAGGGATTAATAGGCAGCACTGGGCAGAGCAGTGAAGGTGGGAAAGACCGTGGTGGCTGGCTAGGCATGCGGGGCTTCTAGGCCATTTGAAGGAGGCTCCTCTTCAGAATGGAAATTAATTCAAGTGATTTGAGCTGAGAATTTGACACGAGCAGATTTTAATTAAATCCTCCAGTAAATGTGAAGGGGCTGTTCCTGAAACTAGCCTTGTGCACTTTTAAGAACTTTGAATAACAGTTACTATTGCAACTCAAATTTATTATATTTTTGTTAAAGAGAACATTGTTTGAGACTATAATTTCATTCTTCATGAATTGGTAAGTGTTTGGGGATTATCAACAAAGAGATTCTATCACTGCTAAAAATTTTTATAATGATAGAAATTGGCAAAGTAGATCAGAACCCTAACTTTTCTGCCACTGACGCCAGAAACTGATGGCTTAAAAATGTTTCTGGGTCTAGTTAACGTTTAGATCTTAGAAATTAAGGTTTAAGGATGACCAAGCTTTAAATAAATTATAGAAAACTATTCTTTCAAAAACACATTATAACTTTTGTGTTGGTTTTTTTTTGTTTGTTTCCTGTTTTTTGAGACAGGGTCTCTTTTGTCCAGGCTAGAGTACAGTGGTGTCATCTGAGCTCACTGCAACCTCAAACTCGTGGGTTTAAGCAATCCTCTTGCCTCAGCCTCCCAAGTAGCTGGGACTACAGGCACATGCTGCCACACCCAGCTAATTTTTCTATTTTTTATGAAGATGGGTCTTGCAGTGTCGCCCAGGCTGGTCTTGAACTCTTCACCTCAAGCAATCCTCCCGCCTCAACCTGCCAAAGTACTAGGATTACAAGCTTGAGCCACTGCTCCTGGCTTGTATTGGCTTCTTATATTTATTTCTTTAATCTTTCCTTTTAACTCAAACTATATTTTAAAGATTTATTGCCTTCTAAGTTACAATTTGAGTGCCGAGGGAAACTTGATTTAGCTTTATGGAATATATTTTAAAATAAATAAAGCTGAACTCTGTTCCTCATCCCTTACAAAAGGAATCAAAGACATTGGTTTGAGAGATGAAGTCACTTGTTAATAAAACAAATATTCCATCAAGTAATACTCTGAAGGAGAGCGTGTAGTTTACTTCTTCTCCAGAAGGTCTTTCAACAAGTAAGTAATGAAAGGTAGTGGCTCGGGCCAGCCTTTCTAGTTCAACCAGCTCAGACCCCTAAGCTCTTTTTGCTTCAGCTTTTATACCTTACAAATGGAGAACACCTTGTTACTGTCCCTATTGCAACGACGTAAAGTGGGTGCAGTGCCTGGCACCTTGTGAACAGTCAGTGAATGTTCCTTCTTACTATCTTCATCATTATCATCATGAAATATGCCTTCTAGGTCATACAGTGACTTTTGACATTCCATGGCACAATTGTAGCTCACACAATGATATTTTTTCTCTTTTTTTTAATAAGGAGAAATTGTCGTAAATGAAGTCAATTTTGTGAGAAAATGCATTGCAACAGACACAAGCCAGTACGATTTGTGGGGAAAGCTGATATGCACTAACTTCAAAATCTCCTTTATTACAGAGGACCCAATGCCATTACAGGTGTGTTTTATTTGTACACTGTTTCATTGTATCAAGGCTTTTGACTCTAAGCGATATATATTGTTCCATAAACCACATGTGGGAAAATTATAATAAAATTATTAATAAGTGGTTAATATAATGTTGGAAATGAATTATATTAAAATTCAAAATAAAGTTTAAGAAGAATGTTGGGACTTACTTGAATATAATTATTGAGATGATTTTTAAGTCACTTTGCTTCATTTATCCTCTGATCACTGGTTATGTATCTTTTTCAATAAGGAAGTTATTCCTTCTCTTTCAGATCTTTTAACCTGCTTATAAAAATATAATAACCTTTTTCTCTAGTCATAAAGAGAAAAACTTAATTATTTAGCAAATCTTATTATTGCTACACATTTTTCTGATTTCATGATTTTTTTACACTAATTAGTTCTTTTTCCAAAAAGCCAAATTGTAGTTGTAGGAAGAATGAAGAAAAATATTGATAAAAATTTTTTTAATAGCCTTCTTGCTATTTTATTTTCTTACTGGAAAGTAATAGTTCTGCATTATTTTGGTGTTTAAAAGTTTAGGCATTCATTTGATTAACTTAAAAATCCTGGACTTTTCTCTCAGCTATTTTCTATTTTGATTTGTAAAGTGTTACATACATCTGCCCCCTAGATCTTTATTTAGAATAGTAATTGTTCTCTAATGAAATGTTTACAAATGAACTGTAAACTTTTTGAAGGGTCTAACAAGGTGTATTTCATGTAGTCATTTGTTAATTTACCATAATATTTACTGTTCTGTATATTTGTGTGTTTATCGCAATTTTCTCTAGGTATATTTAGACTAAGGCATTGACAGATATTTAACATGTAGGGACACTAGCTTATTTGGATTTAGGCTTGGGTTTTTCCCTTTGTTTTTAGCTTTATTATGATCCCTGGCCCCAGACTTCACGTAAATGAGAAGCAAATACCTGTCATAGTTTAAATCCAGTACCGCCAATGGGAAAAATAAACCTATGCTCTACTGACAGCAGATTGATAGTGTCAACCAGTTCCTTAGTTTGAAAATGAGCATGAAGTGTTTGTTAACAAGTGAAAAAAAAAGATCTGTGGTTTGCCAAAACCTTTCTCTAAAGATTTTTATTTCTAATAGATTTTCTGCTCTAAAAAGATAGTTATTTTCCACTCTGAAATCTCCATTTTAAAAATCAAGCATGATTTTACCCATTAAAATATGATGTCCTAGGAACCCCTTTTTCTTTATTTTGTAGCCAGCTTATCCAGATCTAGACATGTAAATGTTTGCATATGAAGTGATTGATAATATTCCATATTTTGGATATTATGGGATTATGTACATTTTAACCTAATTTCCATCTGTCAAAAAAGAAAAAAGCATGGGGAGAAAGAGGGAACATGAACACAACATATATTTCTTTCTCTCTACCCTTGCTTTACTACTAAAGTGTGTTCTAAGATACTGTATCCTTAGAATGGTCCTAGCTACACAGACAAAAGCTTTTTGTGCTTTTTAGAAATAGTCATCACAGTTTCTCATCACACTTAAAAGTAAGACTTGTGCTACCATTGTGAAGTTATTGGGAAAAGAATTAACGTGAATGTAATTTTTTATTTCAGAAATTCCATTATAGAAACCTTCTTCTTGGTGAACATGATGTCCCTTTAACATGTATTGAGCAAATTGTCACAGGTATGTAGCATTCTATACACACTCTTTCTAAAAGTTGATTCCATTCTGGAAGTATTGCTTTAAAAGTCATACTTCTCAAATACTTAGGTTATAGTTTTATTGCTGTAGGTTTACTTTTACCATTGTTTTGAGTCCCAGGAACATTACTGAAAGAGGGATAAGTCAAGAAATTATTTTAAAAGGGAGATACAGAATATATAGCTTTTTATGGTTTCTAAGCTTTTGTCCTCTTTTTAATTAAAATTTTAATTATTAAATGTATCTAGATGGTAGTGATTTTATGCAAAGAATCATTTAAAATATCTTTTGAAGCAAAGTTAAAACCAATGCCCCAAGTTCTAGGAATTATCAATAAATATGAAAGATTCCAGAGAAGTGCCCAAGTGATGGGTGACCTTCCCATTATTTTCACTAAAATTTGTACTAAAGGGTGAGTAACAAGAAAGAATTTTTATACTTTTTTTTCTTTTACTTTTTTCTTTTTCAGTTAATGACCACAAGAGGAAGCAGAAAGTCCTAGGCCCCAACCAGAAACTGAAGTTTAATCCGACAGAGTTAATTATTTATTGTAAAGATTTCAGAATTGTCAGATTTCGCTTTGATGAATCAGGTCCTGAAAGTGCCAAAAAGGTAATACTAGTTTTATCAAGTTCTGGGTTCTGCACTGTATTTACTGATTTCAATTCTGTATGGAAGTTTTCATTTTCAGTTGCTCATGTTTTTTTAGGGGACATTATCATTAGATATCTCCTTATGTAAAGTCGAAGCCAAGAATATTAATAGAATGATTTCCTTGGATTAGTTTATGGCTGTTTTAAAGTATTCTATATAAAGCTACTAAAATGTTAAAGACTTTCATGTGGAAATTAGCATATCTTTTACATTAAGACCATTGCCTGTTGGTTTCTTTCTTGGTTAAAAAAGTTGAAAATTTGGTGATGTACTGCAATTAAGATTTCGTAAGGCTTTTAATTCAGAACTGTAGAACTTGACCAACAGACTGAAAGCTAGACTTAGGTTACATAAGGTTTAGGTAAATGTATAGTTATGAGAGGGGCCTAATAATTATTAGTGGTTTAAAAAAATCTTATGAATTGATTTGGCAGGGGCAAATCAAAGCTAGTCATTTTGATTGCTGTATTTTTTCCTGCCTTCCAGGGAATGTTCACCTACTTACTCATAGAGTAAGATTCAAGGGCAAAAATCTCCACTTTTTTGGTTCCATGTTTTGCTTTACCAGAGGTGTGAAACTTGTAGACCTAATGCCCCTCGGTTCCAGTCTGTGTTGTAACAAATGCAGAGGAATAGAATTTCCAGAAAAAAGCCTGTTCCTGTGCATTGGGAATTGAACAACTGTGTCTTAGTGAAACTGGAAGTTGCTTTCTCTCAGAACTGAGCCAGCCTTTGCACCACCAAGCAGTGGGTGCATTTTTTTTTTCCATGGTCAATAGACTGACTGCCATAAACTTTCTGTGGCTATCAAAATGAGGCTGTCAGAAAGATCTTAAGGCAGCTGTCTTCATGTATTTTGATGAGGAGGTGGAAGATTTGTTTTTAGAACTGTAACCAACAAATTCTTCATAGGAAAGAAAACATGAGACAAATCCTTGAAAATGAATGACTGTCTAGCAGAGTAGAATGATGATGGACTCTATGGGTGAAAGTTTTCAAATAGAGTCTATACAGCCATCTCCTAGCATTTTGCATTATTGAAAATTCAACTAGGTAACTCTTTAGGCCCCTTTCACCTGTTTGATTCTGCTGTTTGTGATTTTAGCATTTTACCAATTTGAGATGCCTATTCTTACAGAGACTTCAGAATTAATTAAGTAGTAGACTGTACATAAAATATTTTGAACCAACTTACTTTCTTGAGCTTAAATATATACTTGTAATTTAATCAAAGCATCAGGAACCTGCTTGTGAAAAATTTAACTTCAATATGTATAGCATCTAAAGAATTGGGACACCCCAGAACTTGTGAGATTGAGTTAGGACAGCATATTTTTAAGGAAGAAATTTATACAGTTGGCCCGATATTCTTTCAGAAAATTTAATTCTCTCCCACTCTCTTACAGTATCTTCCAGATGACACCATTTTAAAAGTATAAATCATAATTATTTGGTCTAGTTCTTGAACCATCTATTGTACTTATTGGTAATTTCTGACACATAAGGCAGTGTGCTAAATTTTGCAAGATAGAAATAAGGATAAGATGCAGTTTCTTGCCCTAAAGAGCTTAAGTCTAGTTGAGAAGATAAAGCATGAACAAATGAAAATTAAGTAACGTAAAAAGTAGCAGCACAAAAGACGTTTCCACACAAATGATTAGTTGCCAAATTAACAAAACATACTACTGTGGAAATTCAGAGTATCCTTTGTTTGTTGTGCTACTGGTGAGTGATGAAGAGGGCCTCATTTAACTGTCCACATAAAACAAGCTAGTCCATCTCATGCCCTTTTCCAAGACCAAGTTTCTGACAAAGATCCTTTCCCCAATGTTAAAATATAAAAAGGGTGTTACCTCAGGCTCAAAAGAAATACTCTTTGTCTTTCGTATAGTCAAGGGGGGAAGAATTTTTCCCTTGATTCACATGTTTCAGACACAGAGGATTAAGTCATGTGTGACTACCAAAGCTTCCTGAGTTAAAAACAAAAATTCTGGCATACCCTTTTATTTTAAGTTTTCATCTAAAAGTAGGTAGCAGTTAGGAATTTATGGCTCATTTTTACCTCCTGGAAGCTTTGAATGCTAAATTTTCTCTGGAAAATGCTTTGATTTTATAAGTTGTTTTAAAATGACCAGATGCGTGTTTGGAGTTCTCTGGTGGGTAAACCACTGATTCATTTTAAAATACCTGAGGCATTTATATTTTTGTTTGAAAAATGAAATCTCAAAATACTAAATTGTTCACATTTTGTTAAATGTTGCTCTGAAACCTTCTCATTGTCTAGTTGGTGTTGTCTCAATAGTATTATGACAAAATTAGATTAATTTGTGCACCTGTATCCATTAACATTCATCCTCATTATCCTTGGGCTGTCACAGGAAAATAATGATATTTGGGAAAGGTCTAGGAATTTGATGATACAGAATTGTACATCTAACCTCATAGCAACTTTGAGCCACCAGTTTTTTGTTTTTTGTTTTTTTTTTGAGACAGAGTCTCACTGTGTTGCCCGGGCTAGAGTGCCGTGGCGTCATCTTAGCTCACAGCAACCTCAAACTCCTGGGCTCAAACGATCCTTCTGCCTCAGCCTCCCAAGTAGCTGGGACTACAGGCATGTGCCACCATGCCCAGCTAGTTTTTTGTATATATTTTTAGTTGTCCAATTAATTTCTTTCTATTTTTAGTAGAGACGGGGTCTTGCTCTTGCTCAGGCTAGTTTCGAACTCCTGAGCTCAAACAATCCGCCCGCCTCGGCCTCCCAGAGAGCTAGGATTACAGGCGTGAGCCACCGTGCCCGGCCCCACCAGTTTTTTTTTTGAAGAACTTTTGCTCAAAACTGAGAGGTAAAAAAAAAAAAGAGAGAGGTTGTTTTTAATGATTTATCACTTTATTTTCACATTAGTTGGTGAACCACTTGTTTAGGCATTCTTTCTAGAAGTGATTTCAGTTCATCTAAAGAACAAGTTGGCCTTTTTCTGAACTGTCATTTTTGCCTTGAATCTTCTACTTACTCCTTGGTGGCTTTCAGGCTACAGAAATTTAGGAAACTAGTTTTGTTTGCAAATGCGATGGAACTTGATGAGGTTTAAGTGTTTCCTGGATTTGAGCTTCTCTAGTGCTGTACCCCCAGCTGGCCTTAAAGAAGAAACTATCTACTGTGGTACTTCTGGTTTCTGTCCAGAGAAGAATATCAGCGTTAGTCCAAAAATCACTTCAAAAGTAGTTTACTTTTTTTCTCCAATAAAATATTTACCATAATTTAATGTCTTTAATATCAATATTTTCTTCATTTCCTGTGACAGCCAGGACAAATGAACTATTTCAAAGGTAATTTTTAAAGATACAGTTTCCAAAAAATTTTTTATGCTTAGGGAGTAATCGCAAAATCAGAATAATTTTACATGAAAATGAGTATTTTTTGAGACCTTTTTTTAAGTCTTTCAAAAACTCTTAAGGATGGAAGGTAGGAATTTGGACTTAGGCTTTTAAATAATATGTATGAAAAAGTGCAAAGAACAGGGCACCTGGCTTTCTTTTCTCAGTGGCATGAGCGTAATCCAGGTACATAAGTTTCTGTGTGCCTTTATGTGTGTACCCAAAGATACCACTACTTAGGTTATACAAAAATAAGTTATACACACTTGTAATTACACTACTGTAAAAGAATAAATTTAGTTTAAGCTGTGCTTCCTCTCCCCCAAAAAATCAACCATGTGTAAGTAACTAAACTGACTTTCAGTTTTACAGTATTTTTTATAGACTTCTTTAAATGTAGATGCTATTAGACATACTCATTTGTTTCCTAACCTTAATGTAGATGCTGTTAGACATACTCATTTGTTTCCTGATCTAATGTGATATTATGCTATTTTTAAGGGGCTTTTTCAAAATAGGCTGTGTTGGGTTTTGCCTTGCAGATAGGCCTTGTTTCTTTTTTGCTTTGTGGCCACAAAGAACATATTCTGTAACCGATGATCTGTGAATTTATTTTGTATAAACTGTGACTGCTTTCTAATTGTCTTAGAGAATGTGATACACTAGTATTACTGGCTTGGAGTATTTTCCTTAATATGTTAGTAGCTAATTTTGTCAACTAGTATTTTAGTGCAGCCACTATTGGACACAAGGCACCTTCAGAAAGCTACTGAAGTGATGCTACAAAATGGAAAAATCTTCAGATCTTTACTCAAGTCTGTGCAGAGAAGTCTTTCTTGGTCTCCTTCTCTAAATGTTTAACCTGCTTCCCTCTTCTCTCAGTATAACACTTCATATTCCCCTTCCCTGCTCTCCTTTTTTCTCCTTTAGCACTTATAATTATGTAACTTACTGTATTTTTGTTTGTTTATCTTTAGTGTCTATCTTCTTCACTAGAATGTAAGCTTAATGAAGGCAGGGATTGGTGTCTGTTTTGTTCACTGCATCCCCAGGGCTTAGGACATTGTAGGTGCTCAGTAAATATCTGTTAAATGAATGAGAAGTGTGGCATCTACCCTTAATGAATTGACCTTAATGGTAGAAGTATAAGAAAGTACCTATGTCCTACTTTCATCCACATCATAACTATTATAAGAATACCTTGAAAGTATAGCTATATCAGCACAATTAACTAAAGAGACATTTTATATTGGAACTGTAATTATTTGAAGGGAACAGTAGGGTTTCTGGAATTAATACTCTGAAATTGGCTTGGTCTAGGAAGGTTTATGAAGATAGTACTGTTGAACAGACAGGACAGTTTCCAGGAAAGCATGGTTGGCTAAGAGAAATAGAAGGATTTCCTAAGCAGAGTGTGGCAGAGGAGATGGCTAGGGCCAAGTCAGACAGAATGTGTGCAAACATATTTTTCTCTGACCAGAGACTGCTGAGGGAATATTGGGAAGGTAAGGGATGTCTGGTGAGGAGAGTCAGTTTTGTGAAAAATCAAGAATGAGAAGATTTATTTTATTAAGCAGGCATCTGGGAACCACAGCAGATTATCAAGAGAGTAAAATTATTCGTCAGAATTGCATCTTTAGAAGAGAATTCTTAAGTGTTGTGGATTTCTAGACTGTAGGGAAGCCCACAGAGGTGAGTATGGCTTAAGGATATGGCTGTGGCAGTGTAGTGAAATGGACAAATATGAGAAATTTCTAGAGAACAGTATAAGAGAGCTTGTAAACTATATATGGTGCCCAAAGGAATAGGGAGTGCTGAGGATTTTTCCAAGGTACAGATTTCAGTAGTTGTGCTGCTGGAAGTGCTTTAAGGAAGAGTGTTAACAGATTAGCAATGGGAATGTAGACAACCCGCTCTGAAATTTTGTGAGTGGAGCCACCATAGAAAGCTCTCGTATAGGCATTGAGGAATTGAGATATTACATAAGTTTCAGAAAGCTTTTTTTTTTTTTGGTCAAAACTAGTGATAAATTCTGTCTGCCAGGTTGTATATTTTAACTGAATAAGATAGGAAACATTTATTCTATCATAAAAATGACTTTTAAAATACAGTTTAAGCAGCAAGCTGACACATACTTACTAGTTAATGGAATTCGCATCAACCCATTCCAAACACTGCTAACTTGACATGAACTAACAACTAAACTTTTCTTGCTTGCTCACTTTCAAAAGTGTATCATTCTGACTTAATGCTTTACCTTCTAAATGATATCTAATCTTTTAAATAAGATCTTCTGCTATTCTCTTCTTGCATATGTCTTATATGTCTTAAATTTCTTCTTCTTTGCTCATTTGAAGAGTGTTTTCTCCTCTGGTGCAGAGTTTGTATAAGCAAAGGGCACCATCCTTCACTCCATTCAACAGCAGTTGAGAATGACAGTAATATTTCCATGTATGGATCTCCTCTGAAGGCCAAGCATATTAATCTTTACCACAGACTAGGTATTAATATTACCTTCATTTTACAGATGAGCAAATTGAGGCTGGGAGAGAGGAATTGACTTCACACAAGTTATGTAGCAAGTACTTGATAGAACTAGGATCAAGCCCTGGTCTGTTTGACTTGAAAGCCCACACTTTTTCCACTACAGGACACAGTCTGAAATCATTTAACTTATACACAGTTTTTTGATGTACCTCTTTGAGCCACCCATGTATTTTTGAGTTTCTTGGCAATTTTAACTTTTTTGTGATTATGGCTTCTCTATTAAGTTTAGATTTTTAATCTATGAGGTATAAACATTAAAATTTCATACCTTATATTAAGCCTTTATTGTCCCAAAAACAAAACTTTTTTCTTCTTCTTTTTTGAGTGGATTTGTTGTCACTGCCTTTTTGGAGAATGCTTCTTTAGCTTTCAGGTATATTTATTGGAACAAAAATACTTTCCAGTTAAAATTCAGCTCAGCAAATACTTACTTGCCATGTACTAACTAAGATTAAAACAAGTGTCTTTAACAAAGATTAAGCAGTGTCTTGGGGGCACAACAGCGAATGAGATACCTGGCCTTAAGGAGCTTTTATATTCGAGGTCAACCAGAAAAACATGTAAATAGTATCTATAATCACTGCCCCAAGATGATGCTCCCAGTGACCAAGGCCTTGTTGTACATTTCATTTAACTAAGTGTGTTAAAATCAAATTCTAAATGTAGAATTTTTCCTAGGTATGCCTTGCAATAGCTCATTATTCCCAGCCAACAGACCTCCAGCTACTCTTTGCATTTGAATATGTTGGGAAAAAATACCACAATTCAGGTAAATATGAAAATATTAAATATTGTGACTAATTTTACATGTGTAAATTTTGCTCTTATGTTTATCAGAAGCCTCCAAATATGTGAGCTTTAATGATTGTAGAATTATTAGCTTAATACCTATTGGAGAAGTAAGCACTATATACTAAAAGAACCAATAATTTATCACATTATTTCTTGAAAAATAATCAGAAAGAGCCTATAGGCTTATAGTCATGTCAAGTGTTTTACCTCCAGTTATTGGCTTATATTTTATGATGAGGAATATATCCCCTACCTTTTTCATTGGTAGCTTGAGTTAGGGAGTAATCTTATCTTTTAAGAGAATTGACAGAAAACTAAAAACTAGTTAAAAAGCGTAATATTTTCAGGCAAAGTGTGATTTCATGCAGAAGATAAAGTGGTTAAAAACTTTCTGTGGACTTCATTAAGATTCTCAAAATAATTTCTATTTCTGAATAACATTGATGAAAGGAAGATGAGCTTTTGTCCAAAGGACAGGTATATTCTGGGCAATTTTTGTGAAAGTAAAATAGCTTTTTCTACATGACAGCCATGACATCACCAAGGAAAACTACAGATGATCATGTAATTCCTGTACTTTCTGTTTATATACAAATGTAATTTTAATAAACCATTTCTTAAAATCTCTTAAAAGGATAGAGAAAAACAAAGAGGCTGTGTCTCCTTTTAGCCCCCTTGTGGGTTAGTGACTGCTCATGGACTAGCCAGCTGAAGTACATGTTCTCTCACTGTTTAAGCAAGAAAAACAAATCAGTTGTGTATTTATAATGAAAAATCCATTCACCACAGCATGGTCTGGATTTTACAAATTATTAATCATCCTGGACTTTTATATTTTGTTACTGTAAAATATATGGTAGTAATTTAAATAACCTGTATCTTACAGTATTACTATATTGTAAGTACATTAAAATGTAGTATCAATACACAGTATCTTCAGATGCATATAGTATAAATACACTTTCATTACTCGAAAAAGTATCTATCAACACTATAAAGATGATATATGAAAATACTGCCTTGCAGAGTAGCTCTTATCTTAAAGTACTATGCTTACAGAAATTGGATAACAAAAGTATTTGTAACTTAATTTTTCTTTTTCTTTTCTTTCTTTTTTTTTTTTTTTTTTGAGACAGAGTCTCACTCTGTCACCCCAGGTAGAGTGCAGTGGTGCAACCTCAAACTCCTGGGTTTTAAGTGATGCTCCTGCCTCAGCCTCCTGAGTAGCTGGGACTATAGGCGCACACCACCACACCTGGCTGATTTTTCTATTTTTAGTATAGGCGAGGTCTGGCTCTTGCTCAGGCTGGTCTTGAACTCCTGAGCTCAAGCGATCCTCCCGCCTCAGCCTTCCAGAGTGCTAGGATTACAGGTGTGAACCACTGTGCCTAGGCTGAGTATTTGTAACTTAATTTTTTTTATCAAAATGTACGTAATTATAACTTAAGCTTGAGGAATACAGTTATTTTTAAAAAATTATTTCTTAATATAAAGTAAATTTACTTATTGTCTCAAAATAAAGAATTACATGTTTTTTTTTAAAAAAATAAAGTACTATAGATCCTGCATTATTAGTCAGGAAAGTACTCCTTTGGATCATCATCAGGCTACACAACAGTGAGCACTAGGTTATCCTCAATAAGATCCTCACCCAGAATTGCAAGAGTCACTGAAATGAATATTTCAAAAGGTATAAAAGTTGGAGGAGGGAGTCTTCAATTCCTGCTAAATTTGTTTATGATACAAACCAGTTATTCATGCTACATTTTTTCTGATAGAAATTATTCAGTCCAGTGTGCAGATCCATAACTTCAGCACTAATATAATGACTTGAGCTCAACAAATAAAATAAACTTCCTATAAAATTGATAACCTATTGCCTGCTTAAGTTACTTTTCATATTTTTCTTCATTCATTCTTTGCTGGCATCTCTGGTTTATAATATTGTTAATAGTTTATCAACCATAGGTCTTCTACTACTAGGTTTTTTTTATTTATACCATTTACTTCCTCTATTCTTATATAACTTGTTGATAAAGTTTGATGATTAATACTTAAAATATTCAGGAATACTTTTTTATTCTTCAGATTCCACCTTTGACAAGTACTTCATAAATATAACACTGGCCATAGTTTTGTTAAGATTCCTCGTAGGGTGACATCCTTTAATATCCTTCCATGCTGTTACAGAAGCATAAACTGCATCCTTAAGATCAAAAGAAGCCTGAAATTTCCATACACTGCAGTCAGAATTCATTAATTTGTGAGTGAAAGATGCCCAATAATCCACTCTTGAACTTCTGGATGACACCTTGATTCATTGGCTGGATTAAAGAAGTCCTTTTTGCAGGCAGGTAGGTGACAAAGCTGTTTCCACAACTAAGATCTAAAGTTGGAGGAGCTCCCCTGCAATTACCTAAGAAAAGAATCTTTTAGCAGGCCTTCGGCATTCTCAGGTTTTCATTCATATCCAGCATCACTTGAGTAAAAGCCATCTCTGAAAAGTTCTGCTGTCATCCAAGTACTTCTGTGAGGATTCTGTATTACAGTAAGACGTGTAGTACCCCAGGCTGTACACAGACTCCGCAAGAGGCACTAGCTCAAACAAGGACAATCATTCTGTTTTTTCTCTTTTAACTTGAACGAAACCATGAGGGCTCTGTTTTCATCAGTCAGATTATTATTGGGCAAATAATGTCAAAAAAGTACAGATTCATTTTTGTTATAAAATTGATAAGATGTCAGATTATGCTTCTGGACTAAAACATTGAAAACTTCATGACGTTACCTGCAGCCTCAGTGTCAGCAACTCTACTTCATGACAGACATCATGCTTCCACATGCTGTGATGTAATGTGGAGTTGTAAGGATATTTCACATCAGAAATTGTACATTTGCAGTGACATTTGTTTTTTAATTCTATCCTTTTTATGAACAGAGATCTTGGTATTAGATTTTCCTTTAAATGCTTATTTGAAAAACACGGTACGCAATCCGTTTGAAACAGTGTAGGAATTTTTGAAGTTTGTTGCTTGTCAATTCTTTCAAGATTTTCAGTGTAGCTATAAATGACTTTGATCGATCCTCTTGTCTCTTGAATATGCCACGGACATCAGAATCATGTTAGAAGCCTTTAGAAATCCAGCCATGTTGGCTCCACCACAGGCCCACAAAGTCAGAATCTCCCAGTTAAGAACTACTTTGTTGGCTCACCTCTTTTGAACTTACTAATGATCACAGTTCTCTTTTTAACTTCTTTATTCTTTATGACTTTTAATTTATACAGTATCATCAAAGTAATAGGCTTTATTTTTATATATTGACTACTTTCATTATCTTTTCTGTTGCTTGAGGTCATTCTAAATATCAGTGGGGCCAACTAAATGGAAACTCTAAAATAACCTCAACAGTCTAGGATTAGACTTCTGAACTAGATCATGGAAGATAGCCACAGTCAGGAGCATTTAGTATCTGGTTTCACTTTAGTCAACTGAGGAGCTATAGCATAAAACCTCAGTCAGGTGGCTGTTGAGGGAGCCAGGTCCCCCTAAGATGACCTGCTTTGTCAGTCTAGTGCTGCATCCCCTCATAGTGATCCACTTACAGAAGAAGCCACTGGTGTTAGCCCCTTGGGACTTTTGGGAAAGCATTAGAATTTCTACACTATAAAGCCAGATTGAGTATCTGTTACACTTTCTGTAATGAGCTCTCATCGAAGAAGATATAGAACACATAAAAGACCTAGTCCCAATTGTTGAGAAATGTACAGGATTCGAACAAGAGAAACCTATAAAATAGCAAACAATACAGGATCCTATAGATGCTCTCCCTTTACGTTCAGAGAATTTGTCTAAGTTCGATCTTGAGACGAAATTTGGCAAAAGAAACAGTCTCATAAACAGTAGCACTTTCTTAGCCTAGCTTATTAAATCCTGCAACTGAAAACCCAAAAAGTATTCGGTTCTAGACTGTCAGCCAGGGGTATGCTACCAAACAATTTACGTACCTCTTAAAATGTCATGTGTGTGTTCTTTATACTTCTTTTTTGGTGGTGGTTGTCTTTATTATGTGGCTAGGACCTCTGGTTCAATGTTTAATAAAATTAGCAGGCATCGTTTCTGTTCCTGCTTTTAATGAGAGTACTGTTTGTTCTGTGTTTTTGATAAATATCTTCTATTAAGTTAAGGAAAGTCCCTTTTATTCTAAATTTGCTAGTTTTTTTTAATCATATAACATATGTCAAACTCTATCAAATATTTTACTGCACTTACTGAGCTGGTCATATAGGCCTTTTCCCCTTTAATTTAGTCATATGATGAATTACTTTGATTTTCTAATACTGAATAGCTTTCTGTGTTTTGGTGCTCTGAACACTGTTGAGTTTGGGAATTGCCTGAAGATTCTATGCAGGTTTTGTATTCTTGGGAGATCACAACTCCCAAGGTGTCCCCCACCCCCACACACTGTCTAGTTGTGTTACCCCAGAGAAAGCACTGAGATGGAATGGACCCCCAGGATATGGGCTTAGAATTGGCATTTCAATTTTTAATGAGCTCTGTTAACATCAGATTCACTGGCTAATTCTGATGCCACTTAAAGGATTCAAAATTCCTAACGTGGTACATAAGACCCTTCATAATCTAGAATGGCACTGCTCAGTGATGGAATTGATCTCTAATCTGTGCCATCCAGAAGGGCAGCCACTAGCTATTTGTGGCTATTAAGCACTTGAAATGTGGCCAGTGTAACTGAGGGACTGAATGTTTTGTTTTATTTCATTTTCATTTCGGCTTAAATTTAAATGGACACGTGTGTCTAGTGTTTACTCTTTTGAGCAGCATAGATCTAGAGTCTAGGCCCCATCTAATTTCCAGCCTTTCTTCAACCCCCTCTTGAACCCCTAATGCTCTAGCTGAATTTAATTACATGATGTTATACAATTATACCATGCTTTTTATGTTCTTTTCTGCCCAGCATGCCTATCTCCTCACGAGCCACCTGGCAGCTTTTGAGTCATTCCTTAGGACTCTGATCAGATGTGGTCAAGTCATGAAGCCTTTCCTGCCCCGGCCTTCTTCCCCACTGAGAGTTAGGGGCCTCAGGTGTCTTCTGTATCTTCGTTGTACTCACTCAGTACCCTGCGATTATTGTACTTACTCCCTACTGTCCTGCTAGCACTTTCAAGATAGAGATAAAGTCTTACTCATCTTTCTGCTCTCAGGCCTTAGCACATGGTGGATTCTCAGAAAATACCTGTCTTGTACCAGGAGTTAATAAGTAATCAGTAGGAATGGGCACAACATGTTCATGGGACAATGAAGGGTTTTGCATGGCTAAGGGGAGAATGGGAATTGAGAATAATGGGAAATAAAAGTCAGGTAAGTCATGTCAGGGATTGCTAAGGCCAAGAGAAACCATTTAAGTTTGCTTGATTCATTTGGAAAATGGGCATGATTGAAAGCTTGGGTCAAAGGACTAGCATCGTGAAAGCATCCTTCCGGGAAGTGTGTCTCATGGTCAGCTCTGCCTGGCTCAAGCACAGCAGAACCGGGAGACTTGCACATTTGCAGCCTGCAGCAGGAAGACATTGGACCAGGATGGGTTGTGCCATCTGTCACTCCAGATTGCCAGGGTAGATCTGGCTGGCTATTGGGACAGCTTCTAGTCACTGTGCAGGCACTCCAGAGGCTGTGGGCATGCTCCCAGAAGATAGCAGCACTTCTCTCAAGAGAAGACTCCTTAAAGGAAATTCAAGTCTAGGCTTGCCCTGCTGAACTCTCTGTGGGACTAGCTCTCTAGCAAAGCACAGGGAACCTTGTGAGCTTTTCAAAGGAAAATTGAGTAGATGCAGGAAATGAAGAATTTTCTAATGAGCAGAGAGATGGAAAGTTGGTAATAGAAAAAAGAAAGATCTGGAGGGTTTGAGAACAGAGATGATTGTTGGGTATATTCACTTTTCCAGGCAAAATGTGTGGAGAAAATAAGCTAATGACTTGGATTTACCCCACAATTTGGGGCAGGGAGCCGAGGGAGGGTCAGGAATCGTCTCTGTTAGAATGGTGGGGATGGAAGACATTTGAAAATTAAGGAGAAAATAAATGGAGAGGAAACATGGGCAGCAGACATTCTTCATCATTTGGGGAGGTGATCGGTAATAGGAAGGAAGAGAAATGTGTAGCACAGTAGCCAGAGTGGTCCAACAGGATCAAATGAAAGTCTTTTTGAAATCACAAAGACTGACCTGTTTATGTTTGAAGGCAGAGGAGAGAGAGCCAGTAGGACAGAAAAATCGGAGCTATTTAAGGAGCTGGGAAAGAGCTGGATAAGGACAAGACTAAGTGAGTTATTTGTAGATGGACAGGGCAAGACAGTGCTCAGAGAGACTTGAAAGATGAAGTGGGGAGGAGATGCCACATCAGAGTATGTGTGTGACAGGAGGCACCGAGAGAGAAGAGGTAGCGCTGGGGGAAAATGTGACTGTTAAAATCAATAATATTGCTTTCTCCTGCAGCCAAAATTAATGGAATATCCTCAGGAGATGGAGGAGGAGGAGACGGTGGAGCTGGTGGTGGCAGCCCAAAAACTCCACTGTTTGAAACTTACTCAGATTGGGACAGAGAAATCAAGAGGACAGGTGCTTCTGAGTGGAGAGTTTGTTCTATTAACGAGGGTTACATGATATCCACTTGGTAAGTCCAATTTTAGTGATGTTATATATAGCTGGAAATGACTTCCCTCTGAAGAATAATCAAACTGCTGTCGTTGTTAACTTTAAGTTATGGTTAATGGAATATTTATTTTTAATGTTTTAATGAATATTTTATTTTAAAGATCAAGGCTTTTTAACATAAAGTATTAATATCCATTGAAAGAAGTTGATAACAATTCCTTACTGTCATCAATAATCTAGTCAGTGTTAATGTGCATTTTGTCTCGTTACTGTCTTTTACAATTGGTTTGTTCAGATCAGGATCCAAACAAAGTCTTCACGTTGAATTTGCTTAATATGTCTCTCAGCCCTTTCAATCTACAACGATCTCCTCCCAGCTCTTTTTACTTACTTACTATTTATTTGTTGACAAAACGAGGTCCTTTGTTCTGTAGAATTTTCCACATTCTAGATATTGCTGGTTTTATCCCCATGTCCTTTAACATGTTCCTCTGTCTCCCATATTTCCTAAATTTTAGTTAGCTCTAGAGGCTTAATTGGACTCAGGGTTAGTGTTGTTGGCAAGAATGTTTCACTGGGCGGAGCTTTGTGCCTCCTGCTGGGTCACGTGGCTCTCAGGCTGGCTCACTTTGTCTCTCTCATCGTGATGTCGCCTGACCAGTGGGCTCAGGGGCTGTCAGCCTGATCCATCCAGTGTAAAGTTCTCCTTTTATATGATAGTTTTAGATGCCAAAAATAATTTTTCACTGGGAGCAAGGACCATTGCCCATGGAAGATTGTTCATCTTCTAATTCTGTCATCTTTCTGCTTTCTGTCAAACATTTCTCTCACCAACTCTTTAGTATCCTCTAACACAGTTCATGCAAGAAAAGCAGTATAAATATTTACTTTTTCTCCTTTACTTAACAGTTTTCTGAATAGTGAACGGATTCCCTAGAATCCTCCAAAAATGACTAGGAATTTATTTTTCAAATCTGTTTAATGTCACTTATTACTTGGGAATTTTTTGAAGTGTTTTGTTTTAAGGTAATGGAAATCCTCATTTGTTCATACAAATAAGCAGTTTTTTAAGGGGAAAATAAAAAAGCACTACCCTTTTATTACTGGTTGATCCAGTACCAGGAACTTCTAGGAGTACAGTTCTAGGGAAGGTGCTTTGGAGCACTTAGCTTGTGTCTTCTGCTTCCCCTGAACTTACTTACCTTTCCTGGTCAGCATGCTCTGGTATGTGGGCTAGAAGCACATGACAAAGCCTGCCAGGCCACGGGGAAGAAAGATGAGAGTAGGAGGATGTCTTAAGGTACATTGAGCTTACCCGCTAGTAATTGTCTGATCAGTGTCCTAGAGACTGTGCCTTTTAGGGATGGGGAAGGATAGAAGAGGAAGATAAGAAGAAGGGAGCTAAAGCCTCTTCAAAGATTTGTGAGGCTTTGTTTTGTTTGCATCGTTACCCACAGTCTGTCAAGGGAACAAAGGTGGATATGCTTTTTAGCAATTGCATATATATTTGATTAGTAGTCATTCTGGAAAATATTTCAAATATCTTCTTTGTATTTTTCTCATGCTGTAAATTTAAATTTTGTGAGAACTGACCACATCACAAATGGTTTAGACTGAGATGTCTAGGATGGTCAGTGCCCCTATGATGTTCACATGTGGCCACTGAGTGGGGTGCACATGAAGTGGGGATAAATGTGTTTAATTATCTATGGGTCTGAGGAGCCTTTAGCACAGGACTCATGTACTATTGGTTTTTTTCTCTGCAGCCTTCCAGAGTACTTTGTAGTGCCAAGTTCTTTAGCAGACCAGGATCTAAAGATCTTTTCCCATTCTTTTGTTGGAAGAAGAATGCCAGTAAGTGAGTTCTGTTGGATTTCATGAATACTGACGTCCGTTGTTTCTACACAGTTAAGTAAGGATTCTGCCTCTCTTCTAGCTCTGGTGCTGGAGCCACTCTAATGGCAGTGCTCTTGTGCGAATGGCCCTCATCAAAGATGTGCTACAGCAGCGGAAAATTGACCAGAGGTAATTAAGAAATGGTCATTGTCACTTTAGACTGTTGTATTTAATGTAAATAAGTACAGTAAGTTCCCTAATTGAAAATAGCTAGCCAAAGGCATAGTCTTATTAATCAGCACCATAAATTCTATGCAAGAATTGCCATTTTTAAAAGAGTGTGAATATATTAAAATTATAACATTTAAATTGTATTAATTATAATTTAATTCTTTGGTTTATAAGACACTTGAGGATCTTACATTGCTAACATCTTGCTATAATAGTTCCTTTAGCGTACTTTCAAAGTAGAGTGATATCCAGTTGAGACACTTCAGGATAAATCAAACTTTTCTTATAGTTCAGTGTGTCTTATTTAGGTCTACGACGTCACAATAGCTAGAACGGTGGTTTTAATTAGCCACCACAGACAAGTTTGGCATCATCTGCTAAAGCCATCAGTAACCTCCATGTAGGAGGCCTTTCTCAGTCGTGCTCACAGCAGCGGGCAGCACTATCAGTTAACACTGTCTAGGCCCTCGGCCTCTGCTCCTCTCCACTGTGCTCCTGAGCTCCTCCTTCTTGCTGACACTCTGTGCCTCTGCACACCTGTCCCCGTCTCTCCACACATTACACAGGGTCTGTCTAAGGCCAGGTCCTCTTCATGCTGGGTATTCCCTTCCGAAAGGAGTTCCCCCAGGGCTGTGACTTTAGTGACCAGCACGTCTATATCTCCAGTCTAATTTGACATCTTCCACTCGGAGGTCTCAAAGGCCCTTTAAACTCATTATGTCTAAAACCAAACTCAAGGGCATGGCTGCCATGTCATCCCCCAGCCTGCTCTCAGAAACTGAAGGGTCATCCTTGATGCCTTCCTCTTATGTTTCCCCTCCCCATCTCCAATCCCTTCTCAGATTTTGTCACTTCACTTCCCCAACTTCACCTCTGCCAGTGTGTTGTAGGTCCCATCATTTCCTCCTTCCACAACCCCTCTCCTCCTGGGCTCCAGCCACCTGGACATCCCTGGTGTTTTCAGTCTCCTGACATCTTCCCATGCTCTGCCCTTCTCCTGGGCTGCCTTCTTCATGCTCATCCGTGAGCACCCTCCACGCCCACCCACTTGGCACTCACGCATTCTTTATATTTCTACTTAAATATCACTTCCTCAAGATAAGCCCTCCCTTACCTCTGAAATTAGATCAGGCCTCACAGGTATACAGGGGCTGTCCGGAAAGTATCCGGCCATTGTTAATATAAGGAGAACGGTTACATGGCTCTATTTTCTAGAGCTCACGACTTTTTCTTCATAACATTTATTTTAGTTTTTAATGATATATATGTGTTACAGTCTGATTACTGCCTTTTTTACTAGACCAGAAGCTCCATGTGGTGAGGGATTATGTTTGTTTTGCACACCGTTGTATATTTAGCACCAAGGAAGCACTTATGATATTTATTGAATACTTGTTGAATACATGAGGAACAAATGAACAGATCTTAGAAAACAGGCTCAGAGAGCCTCAGAAATTATGTATCACAGTCCATTATTGAGACACCAGATCTTAGGTTTTTTCCACAGTACTGTAACTTACAAAGCCACACTTGCTGAAGCAAGTAACTGTCAAGTGGCCCTCAAATGACTTTTCAGTTCTCTGGAAAGGAGGTGACTGCAGTTCACAGAAGTCCACATTCTCTATGGATTTTAATTTTATCTTAATTGCTTTAGAAATTTTCTGCTGTGTCATGCTCCAAGCCTTGTTTTCACTACCATGCATGGTGATTAAGTGCTCAGTTAAGAATTTTGCCATTAAAGGGAAGATTGCAGCACTGTCGGAGTTAGTTACAAAACCTTATAACCAGTGGCAGTTTCGATTATTTAATTTATTAAGCTAAGAATTACATCAATTCCTCCCCCACCCCCAGCTATTCTATTCTTCATAAATAGGACAGATTCTCTTTGTTGTCCAACCTCTTCTCCACACCTTTTTCCCTCGGGCATGTCATCTAGGCCCACCAGCCTTCTCTAGGTTCTCCAGCAGCCAAGCTTGTTTCCCCCACAGGCCTTTGCACCAGCTGCCCCTCTGCCTAGAACAGGCTCCCCTTTGCATTGCTCCTAGTCATTTAAGTTTCAGCTTCAGTATCATCACCACAGAGGAGCCTTGTTTGTGTGACCTAAAGTGACTGTCAGTTTAGGTCACTTGATTGCATAGTCATGGCATCCACCATAGCCCAAGATTTTCTTATTATTTACCCCAGCACCACCAGGAATGCAAAATCCATGAGGACAGAGGCCTTGCCTGTCTTGTTCACCTCTCTATCCCCAGCTGTTAGAATAGTATGTTGGCTTATAGTAAGTGCTCAATAAATATATGTTGAAGAAATGAATGAATAGTGACTAAAGGATTTTGTCTTATTAGGATTTGTAATGCAATTACTAAAAGTCATCCACAGAGAAGTGATGTTTACAAATCAGATTTGGATAAGACCTTGCCTAATATTCAGGAAATACAGGCAGCATTTGTAAAACTGAAGCAGCTATGCGTTAATGGTAATTTTATTTTTATTTCCTATATATAATTAACAGGGGGTACAGAATTATATGAGACACGTCAGGAAAAGTGATGTTCCTTAAAAATTTAGAAATAGGTATATTTAAGGAGTTTCATTGACGTATTTGTATGAATTATATATTGTATGAGAATTTCAGAACTTCCTAGGATGTGAAGTTTAAACTATTTTTTGTATTGGAGGTGAAAAAAAATGAACTAATTAAATTTCCTTCAAATCATGAAAGGTATAGAATACTTTTATAAAACCATTTGCTAAGTAGAACACTGTACTGCCTTAGAGACAAACTTATTAAGACTTTAATACACCAACTTATATTTTGAGATAAGTGACTTTACATGGATATGAGACAGAGCTGTGTTGTAGCTGTACCCTCAGAGTTCTAATATGTCTGAGCAAACTCTTATCAGGTGGCTTCAGTGTGCCCTGGGGGACGAGTAACATGAAAGCATCTTTGGCATAAAGTGGCTCCTCCTTGAGGGATCCTCTAAATCACCTGGGAGTCCAGAGAGGCAGCCTTGTAGCAGGTCTTCAGCAATGAGTGGGCACTTGCCTGGAGGAGAGCTTTGCAGGGGCGGGGCAGGGGCAGGGTGTTGAAGAAAAATAGCGCCTTGAATGATTATCATTACTCTAGGCAGGGCAGTGAAGGTATCTTTTATTTGTGCAGTGATCAGCCACCAGGGTCATGCCAGTTGTGCACAGAGGTAGCACTGGCTGCAAGGGAAGGGAGGAGAAGCAGAGCAGGCAAGGCTCACAGTCAGGAAGCCAAGGGCTGGGGCCTGGACAGCTGTCCATGCAGGCGGGGAGGGCCAGAATCAAGGTATGGGCTGGGCAGGGAAGGCCAGGTACCGCTAGCTCTTAGGAGGCAGAGTTGTTCAGCTCTCTGAGATTTCCCTGAAGGAGCCAGAGAGAAGACGGTGGAGGCCTGGGGATACTTTGTTACAAAGTTGTAACACATCTTGTTAGATGTTTACACTGTATTATTGTAAAAAGGCATGACACTTAAAGCCAACTTGTAAATACTAGTAACAGTGATGTAGCTCTTAACTCTCATACGGATCATATAAAATTAAACTTAAAAAGCCTAAAAATGTATGTGTGTATAATTACCGTATTTATTACAGAGCCTTTTGAAGAAACTGAAGAGAAATGGTTATCTTCATTGGAAAATACTCGGTGGTTAGAATATGTAAGGTTTGTATAAGTTCTTTCTTTTTTTCCTATAACTTTTTATTTTGAAACAATTATAGGCTTACAGGAGGTACAAAAATAGAAAAGAAAGCCATATATTCGTCACCCACCTTCCCCCAGTGGTTACATCTCACATAACTAGAGTACAACATCAAAACCAGGAAACTGGTGTTGGTGCAATTGATAGCTCTTTTTCAGATTTCACCAATTTATACTTGCTTTTGTGTGGGTGCACACAAACGGAGCTGTGCAGTTTTATCACATATATGGACTCACATGTCAAGATACAGTCAAGATACAGAACTGTTCTATCACCACAAGCCTCCCTCATGCTGCCCTCCAACCCCCATCCTGTCTACTGGCACCACTAGCCTCTTCTCAATCTCTGTACTTCTGTTATTTCATGAATGTCATATACGTCAACCCCTTCCCTTTGATAAAGGGTTAATTAATTTCCCTGATACAAAAATTATAAAATTGGCCAGGCATGGCGGCTCATACCTGTAATCCCAGCACCTTGGGAGGCTAAGGCAGGAGGATCACTTGAGGCCAGGAGTTCGAGACGAGCCTGGGCCACATAGCAAGACTCTGTCTCCACAAAAAGTAGAAAAATTAGCTGGGTATAGTGGCCCATACCTGTAATCCCAGCTACTCAGGAGGCTGAGGCAGGAGGATCGCTTGAGCCCAGGAGTTTGAGGTTGCAGTGACCTGTGATCTCACCACTGCACTCCAGCCTGTTTGAGAGAGTGAGACCCCGTCTCAAAAAAAAATTACAAAATGTATTCTGTTGAAGCATCATATAAATACCACAGAAATTCATAAAGATTGAATATACAAATGTGTACAGATGGTCTCCAGCTTAGGATGGTTTGGCTTATGATTTTTTGACTTTACAATGGTGTGAAAGCACTGTGCATTCAGTAGAAAGCAGGGTGATACTTGACACTCGCTTGCGGTGCAGGGCAGCAGCAGGGAGCTGCAGCTCTCAATCAGCCTTGTTTCAGCTTCCAATATTTTCAGCTTATACTGGGTTTATCAGGACTTCCCTCCAGCATTAGTTGAGAAACTATAGTGAAAGATAAGGTTTGCTTGATTTCAAGTACCTTTAAAATATATTTGTAGTAGAAATTTGATTTTTAACAGTACTTTTTTTTTTCTCTTTTCAGGGTATTCCTCGGACATTCAGCAGAACTTGTGTACATGCTAGAAAGCAAACATCTCTCTGTAGTCCTACAAGGTAATTAAAGTAATTCCTGAAAACACTGTGACCACCATGCCAGCCAACCTTCATAACTGCTTATCCACATTCAAGTAAATTACATCAATCTTAGTTCTCTCTTATTTACTGCAGTACTCAAATATACTAACAGACCTGGTATGTCATTTAAGTAAAACAATGGTGAAAAGACTGCAAATAGAAGAACAGAAAGGAATCCAGTTTTTATCCTTTATTAAATCCTTCCTCCTATTTTATGGGAAGGGTAGGTCATATCCCTTATTGGATTAATACTTAGCATTAATTTTGGCAAGGCATCTTCTCTCTCTAATCTTGCTATCTTTCTTTTTTTTTAAATTTCAGAATATTATGGGAATATAAACATTTTGGTCACATATTAAAAATTTGCCTTTGTACAGTTTGAATCGAAGTTATGAGTGTGTCCATCACCCAGATAGTGTGCATTGTACCCGTCAGGTGTGAATTTACCCATCCCTGCCTCCTCCAATCTTGCTGTCTTTCTAATTCATACAAATTGTTTTAGTTTAAATACCTTCTGGCTCATGCTAGATTGTGACTCTAAGGAAACAGTTTGATATCAAGAAATTGAACTGAATAGCCAATAATGTGAATTTTGTGTAATATTTGGTAGGAATAAACTGCAGTGTAAGTCTTATAGTTAAAAGATGGTTATATTAAATAACTTTACAGCTAATACAATTTCTAAGTTTCCAGATAAAGTTTATACCGTGACTACCTTTTTATGATACAGTGGACCTTCTGCATTGTGGATTCAACCAACTAAGGATTGAAAATATGTGGGAAAAAAATAATTTTGTCTATACTGAGCATATACAGACTTTTTTTTGGTCATTATTCCCTAAATAATATGGTACAACAACTATTTACATAGCATTTAAATTGTATTAGGTATTATAAGTAATCCAGAGATGATTTAAAGTATACATAAGGATTTGCCTAGGTTATATGGAAATGCTACACCATTTTATATTAGGGACTCAAGCCTCCATAGATCTTGATATCCAAGGGAGGTCCTGGAACCAGTCCCCCATGGATGACTGGGGAAAATTGTATATTCACCTTGCATAGTTTATGAATACAGGATGCTACTTAAGCTTGCATAAGTATTTTTAACAACTGTCAAACTTAACTGACTTTAATGAGGCACAAAGTATTTAAATGCTTAGGGGAAAAAAAGAGAATAGTGATGTACCATATAAAGTAATCCTTGATGCAATCACAATATGTGTTTAATTTACAAATGCCTGCAAAGCCCAATAATCACATAATTTCTCTCTTAAACGGTGGCTTCTTATCTTGTTGGAAAGCCCTACTAATCCTGATTTCTCCATGTATTTATAATACAGAAGGCCTCAGAAGTTGTACTAAGCCTGCATTTGACTTTGTTGTTGTTCATTCCTGC